GGGCCAAGTCCTTGGTTTGGTGCCTACTGGAGGTGTTGGAACTCCTGAGGCACGACAAGCTCCCTGAACTGCCTGACTACCGTGTCCCTGAGGAAGGGTTTCATCGAGTCCAGTCCACTACTTGGGTATTGGAACTGACTCTCAAGAAACTTATTGATTAACAGTCAGCATAGAATTCAGGCAGTTTTAAGGGAAGGAGAGTCTCCAGGCGACAAGGAGCTCTCCGCATTACAACAATCAGTGCTACACATACAGCTACAGTTTGGATTTCATTGGCATTTGGTATTTGATTTTCAAAGCCTACTTTGAAGTTCCTAAGTCAACAACCTTCTGATCAATTTTGATAGTTCACAGCCTTCACCACGTGACAGGAACCTTTCACTTGACCATCTACCACTCCTACAAGGCCACACCAGTCTGGGCCATGCTGATGAAGCAGCAACTCCTTTGCGCCAACCTTTGGTTCAGAACCACAACCATATGCAAGTCCCTCCACTTGTGAGATCTCCAATCCTCACATTGTGTTCCACTAGCAGTCGATGCTGAGTGGTCCCATGAGATTTCCGTTCATGGGGAGAGTATGTATTGTAGTGTAGTTAGTAACTAATCAGTATATCGTGGCATTCCTATGAGAGCGGATCAATACGCACTCGTGGGGAGCGATAACTTAGTCTAGGAGCGAGAGCTCTGGATCCCGTCAGAGATAGCTCCAATAGCTATGCTGGCCTACAGCCCAGCACCCGCAGCTGGCTTATCTCCAGCAAAGCAGCAAGAAAGGATTGTCCTTTTCTACCATAGTTAAGAAAATAGTACAAAGATTGAGACCGATCCGTATTAGCTTGTAGCCCCTTAGATACCGCAGCAGTTGATACCAATCCTGTTGAGGCCGGGCAGAAAGTAGTAGGAGGTAGCAGTATAGTACTTTTCCCAGACTGCCACTGCTAAGAGTGAATAACGAAGCTCCCAGCTCCTGGAGGAGAGCTGGCCCAAAGGGCCCGCAGAGAGCTCTGCTGGCCTCCTGTCTGACTGACAGGGCCAAGTCCTTGGTTTGGTGCCTACTGGAGGTGTTGGAACACTCCTGAGGCACGACAAGGCTCCCTGAACTGCCTGACTACCGCTGTCCCTGAGGAAGGGTTTCAGCGAGATCCAGTCCACTATTTGAGTATTGGAACTGATCCTCCAAGAAACTTGTTGATCATGGCAGAAAACAGCAAACGCAAGTTGCAGAATGCTTCGTAGACATTGCGGAAGTTTGCAAGAGCGCCGCCAGAATACAACTGGCTGTTCTTGGTGGCTTCGATTTGGGCAGTACTGTTGGTCGAGTTAGCCATCAGGATGGTCCTAGCTTGGTGGTCCCCAGCGGCAACAACAGACAGTGCATCTCGCTCAGGAGTGAGGAAATGGAGCATGCAGAGGTTGGACTTGGCCGTGGGGAGTGTGGCTGACAGGAGTCGGACAGACAACCAGGAAAATGTCCTGATTCGATCGCTGAATGCAAGGGTTATGTTCTCGGGCCGGAGAGTAACCGATGTATCAACAGCCAATCCACTGGCATTGGCCACGGCAAGCTTTGCTTTGACGAGTTCCTTCAAGTCTTCTCCGGCGGTAGAGCTTGACCCAAGCTCAAGATAATCTTTGAAGTCATCCTTGAGTGCAGGGAGGACCATGGGAGTGGTATCATCCCGGTCCCCAACAGGGAGACCAGCGAACAGGATTCGGTACCGTGCTGCGGTCCGCTCAGCAGTGCCAAATATCTTGTCTCGCCGGACGAAGGGTTCAACAACCGCTTTGATTTGGTCAGCACTGAGCCCACCAACAGCTGGCTGTGGAAACTCGTCCGGTGGGGGGTCGATGGTAGACCCAACGTTGATCCAGACTGAATTAGACCAGGTTGAGAACCTGGTTCGTGAAGGGCCGAATAGACCACTGTCAGGTGTCACGGCAGCAGGCGACGCGGGGAGGATAGGTCTGACCGCAACTCGAGTGATGGGGTTGTTGGCTCCTCCACCAGCAAGGTCCGGTAGATGAAACAGTGGGCCACCAGCAGTTACTGATTGCCGGCCATTCATCGAGAGGAGGTATTGCATTCCCTGCCTCCAGACATGGAAAAGAGGGTAGGTGTCACGGTACGAGTGGCCATTAGCCACAGTAGACAGGTGCTCGAAGGTCATCCCCGGCTCTACAGGGAGAACCACAGGGATAGCGGCAATCCGAGGGTAGTCGCCATCAATGGGGGCCTCCGGCATACCAGGGAAATTTAGACGCTCAAGCGAGGCGGCGGCTTGACCATCCTCTTCGTCCACGGGACGAAGACGAGTGAGCGGGCCGTCAACGGTGTCAGGAGGAGAAGGGTGCACAGCTAGGCCATACTGGACCGTATCTCCTGCACGGACAAGCGTGGTCACGAAGCCGAAAAAATCTTCCACTGGAAACGTCACGGGATAAGGTTCACCAATGGTGTCCGTGAAGTCCCCAATGATGACGGGAGTTCCGTTTTCACGAGTGGCGATGGTGGGGCGAGTAAGAAATCCCACCTTGTCATTCTAGACGCAGGCGAACTGGAAGACGCTGTCTGGGTCGGCCAGCACTTGCTGTCGGTGGTTGGTATTCATCCCAGGCTGGAGAGTTCTCCTCAACAACAAAGAGACCGTCTCATCGGCTGGACGAGTCAACGAAAACGTTTGGACAGGACCAGTCTTTCCACGGCGGAGAGAGAGTTGGCGAGTAGACATCGTAGGTAGGGTTTTGGGGCAAAGGCAAACAAGGGCTAGTAGGAGCTGGTGTTCGATTCAGTAAGGAATCAACTTGTGAGGGAGATACTAAACGAAAGCACCAACCCATTCGGATCCGAAATTTCTCCACCCCAGGACAGTATTGGCAAGACGCTCCCATGATTGTCCAGTCGTCCTCAAGTACGGCTATGGCTCAAGCCAAAGTAGGGGAGAGGTTGTAGGTCTAGGCGGTGGGTATCCATGTGCTTGGGCACGGGAAACCTAGAGTAATATGCCTCAAAACTAAATTGAAGTGACGACCAAATTTCACTCATGGCCGGTCGGCACAGAAATTGGTGAAGCGACCAGACTCGCCTCACGCGGGGCCGGAGGAAGGTCATCCACGGGTGGAAGATATAACGGGGTGGTACACCCTTAAATCCAAATGGGCATTACTGCCCACGGACAAAATTGGTGCGGGCCCGCACCTCGGTGGGCGCCAACGGATGTTGAAGTCCCAGGTGGACAACCGGGTTCCTCCACGAGACGGGCATCAACAATCAACGCGACAGGCAATCCACCATGGTGGGTTCCACTGAGGCGTGAGTACCGGGGTACGGTACGCAACTACAAAATAGGACCTAGAGTAGACTATGTCTAGGACAAAAAACGGGGGAAACCATTAAGGCAAGATCCTTACGACCGCGATCGGTCCTTGCGGCTCTTAAGAGCACAATATGCAAGAGGAAAATAGGGGCGATCCAGCGGCGCCCATTGACCCCTAAGGGCGTGTGACACTGCGGCCTAAGCACGCAGGCACCGGTGAAGCTCTTACACCATCGCCCGCATATGCGGGGATCAATGGGCAGAGGCACCAAAAAAGAGTAAGGACCATGGACGGCAAGAAGCAAAATTCCATGGTCCAGAAGCACTGTTGGTGGTGTCCAGCATCAGGAAACCAAAACAGTGTGGTTCTGCTTTGCCCTGATGCTGGCTCCTTGAGCCCTTCTACGGGGTGGGGGCCAGACTCATGTCTTCAGCAGTCATTCTGCCCTGCTGGCTTGGAGTCTTGGCTGCAATTGTTGTCGTTGTCATCGTCGAAAAGCAGCAGCAACAAGAAGAAGACAGGCCTCTGCTACTGACTCATCTGCGGCCGTCGTCGTCGTCAACCACTCCGCAGCGCCATTGTCGATAACCACTCAGCAGCAGCAGCAGCAAGAATTCACAACGTTTCGAGAGAGGCAAGAAGCCAAGAGGACAGAATTGGAGGCATGGGCAGCAGCAGCAGCCTAGGCATTAGTATCCGATCTCTTGATTGGCTCTGACAACATCACAATGATGATGTTGTCAGTAATTCATTCATCCAACACAAACCTACATGGCTCGATAGCCAGGCCTTGGACGATCAGCAAACTCATCATTCTCAGCATCGCTGTCATTGTCGGTGGTATTGCTTGTGGCTCTGTTGGACACTGGTTGTTGAGGTTACCAGTAGTACAAGGTGGAGGTGCAGGGGTATCAAGCGTGTTGTTGGATTGGACCGAGATCTTCAACGCATCATTGTGTAGATCCACCATTGGCGACAATCTTTGGTTGCATGCAAAGCACCAGTCTCTCTTGTGGATTCCTCTCAACTCCCAATCCTCCTTGGCCAAGCCAAAGAAAGAGGTATCATGCCAGCGAACAAAGCAGGTGACACTGTCATCCACAACAATCTCCTTGCCCTTCCTCTTCTGCAACTCAGTGAATGCATGGCCTTGTCGCACTTGACACAGATATGGGAACAGCTCTCACCACAGACAACATATTTCTTGGTTCTTTGGTTTGGAAGTCTTTGCACTGTCGCCATATGAGAGGAAAGGCCATCAAGTCGGCCACACAATCTCCCTTTGAAATCGACAAGGTCTTGTGGCGTCAGAGCTGAAGTGGTGGAATCAGGAGTGGATGCTCTCTTGTTGCTGGAGAACGTCTTTTGTGGGGTTCTTCTTTTCGACACTGACTGCTTGGTGACTACACGGAAGTTTTGATCTCCAGGGTAGTTTGCGATGGATACTTCCGATTCTACCCATACCGACTACTATTGACGCATCGGTACAGTTGTGTGAGAAATACTCGTCGGTACAGTCTCCCTCCTGTACTATTGCTACCACTGTGGCAGAGTCAATTGGTTCATTCTGAGACGCATGCCGGCTGGTTTACTGTCCAATAAAGAGACAGGGGACATATCTGTAGTACCGGTACCGGTATGTAACAACAAGGAAGCTAGTAGTTGTACAGTACGGTACCACTGAAATATTAAGCAATGAATTACTTTGTATGCAGATGCATTTATCTAAAGGGCAAATCCTCTGCTGCTGGCACAATTTATTTCAGCAACAGAAATCTAAGCGAAATGGGACCCCCCCCAACCAATTCATTCGCTCGATCCAGAGGCAGTGTTGAGATGTTCTGTAAAGGATACTAGTACCGTACTAGCACCAGTACTTATGCTGGTCCAATGGTGTGTGGCATTTTCGCGCTTCGAGTGCCATCGTCCCACTCAATTTGGAATCGTCCGCTGCGTGTCATACCCTTCACCTTTCCATAGCGAGCATTTTTGCCTTTCGTTTCTCGGATTCGAGCCCCCTCCAGATACTGGTGGAGAACCTCGCGATCATCCCGTATGGTGAATAACGGTGTGCCTGGCTGTGTTTTTGTGAGAGTGTAAGAGACAACGGGTTAGATATAATAGTTGAAAAGAGATCAATGCATCCAGAGGAACACAAGAGGGCACGTACTGGTACATCAGGCACCAGAGCAGTCACTGCCTCGGTGACTTGTTCCCCGACTGCTGTAATTCTCTCACTCTGTTCTTCGAGAGTCACAGTCATGCCATCAACGGCTTCACGTAGATCGTCTACCGCTTCGGTGACATCCGAACGAGTTTCCTTGTCTTTTTCAGCCGCAGCCATCTTTTCTTCAGCTTCTTTTTGCTTCTTTTGCGCGTCGATTCGTCTCTCTCTGTCGAATTCAGCCTGGGCTTTGAGCGTCGCCATCTCGGCCGCAGCTGCTACCTGCTTTTCGTACACCTCTGCCTGGCGCTTTCGATCGACCTCTCGCTCCTCTGCCTGACGCTTTAGATCCTCTGCCCGATTCTTTCGTCGCTCATCCGCACGCAGTTTCTCCAGAGCAACTTGTGCCTGATAGCGAATCTTCTCTCGAGCGGTTTCCTGCCCATCGCGGGAGATTCGCTCATTGATCGGCATCTCCTCTTGGTAGGTGCACCCCTTGCTTGGGATGATTCCCGTCCCCTCCTGGGTTGTGTCCTCCTTCGCTGTGGGTGGTGGTTGCTGTTGCAGCGCTGTTGGTTTCTGGGTAAATCGGCGGCGGCTGCCTTGTTGTTGTGGAAGGACCTTGACCTTTGGTGCGTGGAACGGATCTTCACCAAGGCCACCGGAGATTCCTCGAGGAAGCACGCCATAAATGATTGACGGTGAAAGGTCGCCCAAACCGGGAAATGGTCTGTAAAAAGTAACAGTGGAAGCCGGGGGAGGCAAATCCGGTCCGATGGGGTTTTGATAGCGAGTGGATCTGGGTACGATGGCAAGTTGTTCGGTGGGCTTGACATCATCGCTCCACATCCGGCTCAAGATATGCCCCACGTTGATCACAATTGGCAACTCCGTCACCGCATTTGTCAGTTTTTGGCGACAATCACTCGTGAATTCACGACCTTCGGTGATTGCTCCACACGCCTTACCAATGGACAGGAGAGTACCATACAGCATGTCCTGAGGGATATCAAACTTCATCTTGACGCTCTCTCCACACTTGGAGGTTCCCTTCATGAGACCTAGGCGCTTCACGCCATTGATCTGAACGTACCCAACACCATAGTCGGGGATGACCGCACTGAGATCTTTCCACTCCCACATATCGGCAGGCATGTTGTGTGCTTCATACATGACTTTGACGTTCTTTCGGCCTTCTGCCCGAGCCTTCGTCGTCGCCTGTTCCTCAGATTGGCCACTCTTCTTGAGTTCGGCATATTTCTTCTCGTACCCATCACGGTAGACAAAAACCATTTCAATGAAAACATCGTTCACAGCCCGTGTCTTTGGCCTCTTCTTTGAATGACGATTTTCACACTGACTGCTTACGAGATTGTCGAATTTCTGCTGGTCAAAGAGTCCGTCCACATTCTCAACAGCTTCAACGTATCCAAATTGCATCTCTTCAGGGACGGTAATCAAAGGGTCCGCTACTTGCTCCGTGACATAGATTTCACAAGGGGGGCTAAGAACAATTTGACGTTCGACGCCATCATTGTCCACACAGGAGCAAAGAAGGCTTTCGATCTTGGTGATTTGGAGGTTTTCAAAAATGCTGCGTGGATTATTGCGGGTTCCGAGCTCAGTGCAGATCAGCTTGGCAACCTTGACATCCTCCTTGAGGTCACACGGACGGACGCGCACCAACCGACGCTCTTCTGGCACGTGGCTTGCGGCCATTTCATTGTCAGTAGGTTTGATGTACCGAAGGATCCTGTACTTTTCATCACCTGTTGCAATGGAAACTTCGCCACGCTCGCCATTCTTGTCTTTGAAAATGATCAAATCATTGGAATAATTGCTATGAATCTCCTTGACGGTGACGTGCTGTTGCAGACACGGCTTCGGTTGACCACGCGGTACATTTAATTCGGCAATCACATCCCCAGGATTGAGCTCGCCGAGGCGGACATCCTCTGTACGCACACCTGCATGGACAAGCGCCAAATCGGATCCACCGCTTGGAGTACCCGCATCATCCTTTTCCTCATTGACAGATTTGTCATTGGCCTTGCCATCAGCAGGAGAAGGCTCACTTCTGAGAGTGTCATTGTTCCCAGCACCGAGATCAACAGTCTCCTTCTCATTTTCGCTAAACGGATCAAAGGTGTCTGACTCCTCGGTCAAATCGGTTGCAATTGTGGAGATCACCGAACCAGTCTCCTTGGTGGCGCCACCGTCAAATTGTTTGTCATGGCAACGCTTTTCTCTTGAGCCAGCTGGATTGGCTACTGTCTTGCCGTCAGAATCATTGTCATTGCCAATCTTGCTGGCGACAGCGGCCTTGGGCTTGCCATTCTGATCAGTGACGCGGTGAAGAAAAATTCGGCGACGAGCCGTTGATGCGAGGTTGGCTCCTTCCTCGACGGTTGCTTCCTTGTTGTAAGCGTTCTTGTCATCGCCAAACATGACACTAGTGGTCCCAGCAAGTCCACCCTGCTCCTGCACGCCACCACTATCCTTGACGGCGGCACCACTCACCCGGGCTTGCATCTGTGCTTCTGTCATGTCCTGGTTATACAATAATAATGATGGGTGGTTGAGTATTATTTCTGCTGTCGGCAATTGCTGAAGCTGCATTGTTGTTCAGTCCTGAAACGACTGCAAATGAGGCTTCTCTTTGGGCAACGGTTCTTACCTGTACCTGTTAGGTACCCGTAAAAGTGATTAGTTGAAGGGGCTCCAGAGGGGAGAAGGAGGAGGGTTAAGCTAGTCTGGACAAAGGCATCTAGTTGCACATGTTTTGAGTTGTGGTACCGTAAAAGTCACCAGTCAAATGCACTCCAGAGGGGATTATGTACGAGTACATGCGGTACGGTAGGTACCCTTTCAAAGTATCTTAAAACAAGGGTTCAAAGCAAAATTACGTTATCTTAAACCTGGGTGTGGGTGTTCCCCTGTACGCGTGCACCCCGCGCGCATGACGTCAGTACGTGCAAACGTGTAGAGAGATACATGCGTAATGCACGTAGGATTCCTACACGGCTGTAGAAGCCTACGTGCACCGTACATACCTAGTGCACGTAGGCTTTCTACTCCCTTCTGGGTTGCGAGGCTCTCTGGCTTCTTCTTGCTTGCAAGCTGCTCTCGGATCCAAGGCTTGTACGGCTCAACCAACTTGGGGATGTTCTCTCGAATGGGTAGGACGCGATTGGTTTTCTTTTCGAGAAGAACGACACCTTGCTCGCTTCGCATGCCAGGGTGTTCGTTGTTCTCGTCAAGGAAATATGTGAGCAACGGGATTTTCTTTCTAAAACTCTCGCAAATTTTGGCGCGATCTTGCGGGTCGGCATTCATGCTGTAGAGCATGTCTTCTGCGTTATCATTGAAGATGGCAATAGCAGATGCCATTGCCTTGGAAGGTTTTGTAGATTCGTAGGCAACGACCATTGCGCAAAGCACGGAGTGAGCGAATTTCTTTGGAGCGCTATACATTGTTTTGTGATGGCCTCTACTGAGGCGATTTGCGTAGCGGTGGCCAAAGTCCATGCCAGGTATCACAAGATTGGAGCTCTCCATCTTATAGTGTTGAAAGAGGGAAGGTCAATGACAAAAGATGGAAGAAGAGCAACCTCACACAATGCAACAGTCGCGTTGTGGAAGAGAATGAATGAACCTCCCTGAAATTTGCTTTATTTGTTTCTTAAAGCCAAGGTGACCGTTGCTACGTAAGGTGCCACGTGTAAGGGTTGTCCATCACCCGGTCGGCGGCAGCGTGGCCGACAGTCAGGTTGTTGTTAATGATAGTAGTGCGGGAGCGATATTGTGGCTGTTCGATCGATCGCTCCGTTCACTGCCTACTTGTTGTCATTGAAAGCAGAAAGGATGCTGCGGATTGACGGAATCGAATCAACAAGGCGAAATACAAGTGAGTTTCTTCGACGACAAGAGGGGCCACCATGAAGCAAGAGGAGCCACCATGAAACATCGATATTGAATACTGAAAGGGGAACTCCGGAACGATTTGAGTCCATCGGCAGGCAGTCGGTATCATCGGTATTGTTGTTGTGAACAGCGGTAGTGACTTGCTAGCTAGCAGTACCGGTCACTGTTCGATTGATCTCTCGGTTGACTGGCAAGCAGAAAGGAGATACGAGCCTACGGGAGCTTACTGGAGTGACACGACTAGTTTTCATATCAAGATCGCTGAGAACAGAATTCCGGAAAAGAGGATCCGCCAAGGCTAGTCGCTATTAATACTACGACTACAACTACAACGACACTACAGCTACAACGACACTACAGCTACTATTGACAACGAGCCATCGCACAGCGTCGGCAACGAACAACAGAAGCGCTGTGCGGATTTTGCCAGTCAACAATACAACCACCCTGAGGCGATCGAATGACGTGCAACCACTAAGCCGACAATAATTAACAACAGCGACCGCTACTACTGTAAACAACAAAGCGATGACATGCTGTTGTTGTTGGCCGTATGGTTTCTTCTTCAATACACTAGTATTTCGACAGAAGCCTGTTGTTGTTTGGATACTGGGGACCATACCGGTATGGATAAAGCGGCAGGAGCTTCTTCCGATCAACGGATGGATTCGATCCAATCCGTACAAAGTAGAGGTGGTGGGATCAGGAGGAGGCAATGGTCCGATGGGTACTCGATAGCGAGTGGATCCCGGTACGATGGTGCCGTTGTTGTGTTTCTCGAGGAGAAAAGAAGAGCCCTGCCTTGAAAGCAAAGATTGGAGCGGATATCGCCTTAAAGGCTTCCTAGCTAGGAGCTGGATACTGGAGCGATGGCTAAAAAGTTCGCAGATGCACGTGGTCTCTTCTCCCAGATTGCTTTGGATCATGGCTGTCTTTGCTTTCTGTCTGCTGAATAGTGTTGTGATTATGATGTGTTTCCCATGGTATGGATTATTGTAGATTTTCTCTTTAGATTGTGCTGTTTATTCTTTTCTTTGCATTTCATTTCATGATGCGGGTGGATCGAGATACACCGCTTTCATAGAGGCAGCTTGAAATATTGCTAAAACGAGGTTAGAATTTGGGAAGGCAAGACACAGCTACGAATAGTGTCCGACGTGGATTATCTGTAAAAGTACATTTAAGACTGGGCCAATAGCAGGGTCGGCAATGGTGTCTGTACGTCGCCGAGGGAACCCGGATTTTGACCATATCTCGAAAGTCGGCTTTAAAAATATAAAATCTCCGCTATCCAGCAATGTAGATGTTGATATAGTCCGACGGGCAGAAGCTAACGTTTTAGCTTAGTTACGCTAACGACAGGCTCGACGCCTTCCGAGAGGCTAGCGTTCCAGCCAATCGACTCAACCAAAATCGAGTCGAAAGAGCTTGGGACTGCGAGTCACGTTTCGATTTCGACTCTTTCTTTCTCACAAATTGCGTCCACGGTGGCAGAAAAAGTCGACCATGGCCGAAGAAAACACCCCTGAACGGGGCGGTACGCCTCCTGTTGCCCCTACTAGATTGTTCAGGAGCCCTGTGGCCAAGCTTAGTTCCAAGATGGCGAAGGATCTGGAGGAAAACGAGGGTGATAGCCTTGATAATCTCGTGGAATACGTCAATTCTGCCCTGGCAAAAACAGTCTGTTTTGACCTGGTCAACAAACCTGGACGTGCTACAAGTTGCACTTGCCTAAACGATCTGCAAGAACAGATAGATGACGACGAGATTCACTCCTGTGCGAAGGCACTGTTCTTGTTCTGCAAGTTGGACTATGCAGAAAGAAAGAGAATGGTGAAAGAATGGATCCGCTCTGGATTGGTGGCACAACTCATGTTCCAAGGACTTCATCGTGAAAGTTCAACAAGAGTTTTCCTTTTACCTGGTTCGACAACAAGGTTGATTTGCAGGAACGCTCTATGCCAATTGATTGGTTATGGACAGAAGGCGTGGAAGGGAGTGGTCAAGCTTGTCAAATCCGGTGATGATCCTGTCCACGGATTGAAGAACAAGCCCGGCAACAAACTGAACAGTAGATCGCTCGACCATATGAATGAGTTCTTCTCTTCAATGAAAGAACATGCTCTTCCCCGTGCAACCAAGATTGTCCGGACAGAAATGGTTGATGGGTTGAACACGGCAATTGAACTTCGAGAGGAAGAGAAAGATGTTGTCGAATTGCCATCTTCAATGACAAAGCGGGGTCTGTACAACCGATTCATAGGAGAGCTTGGATGGAAAATCAAGTGGAACAAGAAGTGTTGGTTGCTAGTAACACTCTAGCTTAGTAAAGGTAAAATACTGTTTTACTGTTAAGCTATTTCCAAGAAGTGATCTTTCTCCATGTTTTCTGGGATTGATTCAACTTCAAAGGATATAGTGAAGGGGTGACCATAATAGATCAGTTAAACTCCCATGTATGTAACTAGGGGGGGAAGGGGGGAGGGGATTAAAGATTTTAAAGCATATAGGGGTATCACCTCTAAACTAGAATTCGGAGAAATAACACGAATAATTTGTATTGAGGGTTGTCTGTAATACAACTCCCACACACTCCTGCACGGTTCCATAAAGGATACCGTGGAACGAAAAATTAATGTAATGATGGTGCTCCATAAGGAACAGTTTTTGGTCAAGAGAGACCAATTCTAGGTTGCTCGGCATTCGCTTGGTGGGAGAAGCTGTCATCCATGCAATGCTGACAAATCTGTACAGTCAATGTTGACATGTTGACAGTGTCGTCATGAAAACCCATTGTGGCTACACTCCTGTGAGTGTTGCCACTCCTAAGTATGACTTGGCTGTGGCGGGTTGATGCCGTCACTTGATGTGTGTATTCGAAACTGGAGTTCCGATCACTTGTTAACCGTGGACTGGGAATTGCGGTCACATTGGTATTGCTTGAGCTGAAACTAGGAAGTCCGCTGCATTCTCGTAGAATCAAACTGTGCTCTTGACTGGCGGTGTTAGACTGAACTGGACATCGATATGCCATGGTCTAATCGCCAATGATGTGTGGAAACATCAATCCATTCAGGCTTTATACTGGATTTGGAAATCAGGTGGCATGAGTCTGTGCAATAGCTTGTAGCTATCTGGAGTCAGCTTGTTGTCCATTGGAATGGAACGTGAGCTGTCTCTTCTTGTTGGATGTCCAAGAAGTTTGGATGTCCTGCTGTTTTGCTTTTCCAGAGGAATGGAATCCTCTTCTTCCAGCTGGGGGGGAGTTTCTTCCTTCATCACGGCCTTTCTTCTCTTTGGAATCGAATGCTGTGACTGATG